AGTTTTAGGAACTTTAAGCGTGCTGGCTGTACCTCCTTCGAAATTTAAATAAAATGCAGTTATATCGGAACATGTGCAAAATGTGTACTTATTTTAATAATATTTATATATTTTAGTTAAGATATTGAAATGATTCTTATTTACTTGGTTTCGTGAGCATTTTTTTTATACTTTTGTGTTTTACATTTTTAAAAAGCTTGAAATTTGACGAATTTAGAAATATAACTTTGACATCAAATTTCTCAAAATTGGTCTACTCGATTTTTATGTTTTTTTTTGCTATTGATAGCTTCATTACTTCTATATTAGATGTTTTTGCGTGCAATATTGTACCTTTTCTATATTTTTTTAAAAATAATTTTTTTTAATAATTAAACTTTAATTCCTTATATTAACGAAAATATAATTTTTTAAACATTTTTGGAAAATTCAGCTCTGCGTTTTCCAGCAACGTTGCTAACTTGACACTAGCTTCGATTTATTCTATTACACAATTACACTTATTAAATGCTTTTTGTGAAAAAAATAATGTACATTTCACAACACTTGTTTTTACTTTTATTTGAAGCTTCAATGCTTTAATTGCTGTCTGTATCAGCTGTTTTAAGTATGTGTACAAAAAAAAATTAAATCAAATTATTTTGCAAAGTAAATAATTTAACACGCCCGGTGCAAAAATTCATCATTCCCGGTGAGTATTATCAATTTCATCAAGTTTATAACAACTTCAGCAATTTTTTCTCAGTAAGTTTCTGAATTTCACCATAAAAAACGCGGACAACAATAAAAGCACGATTCCTCTAGTCAAAAAAAAATTCCTAGTCCAAAGGCTTCTTTGTATTCCGCAAATGCGTTATCTGCATCCGCGTTCCATTCAATAACAGTTCTGTCCTGTTTTTTGTTACCTATAATTAAGTCCTGAAACCGTCCCTGGAGCTCTACCGCTTTTGGAATAAAACGGCGATAAAAATTGGTAATTGAAATGAATCGCCGTAGCTCATGCACTACCCTTGGTTTTGGAAAATTTTGCAATCGTTTCAATTTTCTTGCCTTTAGGATTAATGAGATGACGAAGGAATGTTACTTTTTCCTGTGCGAACACACATTTCGTAATGTTTATTTTCAGACCATGTTCCTGGAGTCGTTGTTGCAAGCTGCGCACATGTTGTATGTTCTCGTCTATGTTATCGGATGCGATGCAAATATCATCAATATAACATATGGCAAAGTTAAACCCGAAAATTTTGTTTTTTTTCCTTTTATTGGCATTATAAATATAATACAAATCATCCAACCGCAATAAAATATTATATTTGCATACGCAATATCTTTATTTAAAAACACAAACAAAATACATGCAGTACAAATGCAAACAAAATTTTTTCTTTTTTTATGCAAACGAAGCAACAACAATGCACATTAAAAACATTTTCAAATCGTTTAGTTTGGCAAACGCTAAAAAAACCACTACCTTAGGAAAATAATCACTAAAAAGACCACTACCTTCGGCAAAAGATAACTAAAATGAGCACTACCTTTGTGAAAAGATCGTTATAATGAGCACTACGTTCGTGAAAAGTACACAATCTCTAAAAATTGTTGAATTGATTCGGACTTTTTTTAATGTACTGTTCGTTTAATGTTTTTTAACAAAGATGACAAACAGTATACTATATTTTGTACTTTAGTGTTTGTTTTCGTTCACTGATATAAATATCAGTGAACGAAAACAATTTATAGTAATAGTAATAATTAAACCATTACTTCAAACAAAGAAATAAATAATAATGACATATTAAATAAATAAGTACATAAAATAAATAATAAATAAATAAAACCAATAATAAATAAATATAAATGTAGATTTGTTTATAATTTTCGCATTGCCAACCTCATTTGCATTAAAATACGTTCCACTTTTATCTTTTACATATAATACATTCCACATTGAACCAGAAAGTGAACCAGATCAATTGCTGGTTCACCCCATTGTTTTTGTTTTGCATGTAAAATTGAGCGGATCATGTTTGCTGAAACGCAGCTATTGTAAGCAATTGTGCATGCAATATGAGTTGCCCTCAATACAGTTGGTAACCAGATGTGTGCCACTGTAAAGAATACAATAGTGAGCGAAACGACCAATGACATAAATATATGAAAATTTTATGACATAGATAATTATAAGTATTAAATTAGTATAACCAATAGTAAATAAGTAAATAAGCAGAACGCAAAGTATTGTATATATGCATTCTTAGTATATAAGAGGTACCGAACTTTTCTCTGTACTAGAACGTAAGTTATCAGTCAGTTTTTGTGTAGTGTTTGATATAGTGTATACAAAAGATACAGCTAAAGAACTAAAATGTAAAACCAGAATTAATAAAGATCTAAACAAAACATTATTGACTTTCTCTGTTAATTAATATAAGTGACAGTGAGTATATAACAACTACATTATTACACAGAGTATAACCGCCTCTAAATACCTTTAACAGAGTTATTTTTAAACTTTACAGTGATGATGAGTTTTTAGCATTGTACAGCTTTTCACCGTAATATGTTATTAGAATGGTGTTAGTTAACATACATTTTTTTCGCATAAAAACCACTTCTTTAAATATATATAACTAAAAAATGTTCTACTCGATTTTTGTGAAATTAGAGTCGTTTGAAAGAGTGATCAATCTAGTTTTAGGAACTTTAAGCGTGCTGGCTGTACCTCCTTCGAAATTTAAATAAAATGCAGTTATATCGGAACATGTGCAAAATGTGTACTTATTTTAATAATATTTATATATTTTAGTTAAGATATTGAAATGATTCTTATTTACTTGGTTTCGTGAGCATTTTTTTTATACTTTTGTGTTTTACATTTTTAAAAAGCTTGAAATTTGACGAATTTAGAAATATAACTTTGACATCAAATTTCTCAAAATTGGTCTACTCGATTTTTATGTTTTTTTTTGCTATTGATAGCTTCATTACTTCTATATTAGATGTTTTTGCGTGCAATATTGTACCTTTTCTATATTTTTTTAAAAATAATTTTTTTTAATAATTAAACTTTAATTCCTTATATTAACGAAAATATAATTTTTTAAACATTTTTGGAAAATTCAGCTCTGTGTTTTCCAGCAACGTTGCTAACTTGACACTAGCTTCGATTTATTCTATTACACAATTACACTTATTAAATGCTTTTTGTGAAAAAAATAATGTACATTTCACAACACTTGTTTTTACTTTTATTTGAAGCTTCAATGCTTTAATTGCTGTCTGTATCAGCTGTTTTAAGTATGTGTACAAAAAAAAATTAAATCAAATTATTTTGCAAAGTAAATAATTTATTTGGCTAGCAGCCAAATAAATTATTTTAATAAAATTTAACACGCCCGGTGCAAAAATTCATCATTCCCGGTGAGTATTATCAATTTCATCAAGTTTATAACAACTTCAGCAATTTTTTCTCAGTAAGTTTCTGAATTTCACCATAAAAAACGCGGACAACAATAAAAGCACGATTCCTCTAGTCAAAAAAAAATTCCTAGTCCAAAGGCTTCTTTGTATTCCGCAAATGCGTTATCTGCATCCGCGTTCCATTCAATAACAGTTCTGTCCTGTTTTTTGTTACCTATAATTAAGTCCTGAAACCGTCCCTGGAGCTCTACCGCTTTTGGAATAAAACGGCGATAAAAATTGGTAATTGAAATGAATCGCCGTAGCTCATGCACTACCCTTGGTTTTGGAAAATTTTGCAATCGTTTCAATTTTCTTGCCTTTAGGATTAATGAGATGACGAAGGAATGTTACTTTTTCCTGTGCGAACACACATTTCGTAATGTTTATTTTCAGACCATGTTCCTGGAGTCGTTGTTGCAAGCTGCGCACATGTTGTATGTGCTCGTCTATGTTATCGGATGCGATGCAAATATCATCAATATAACATATGGCAAAGTTAAACCCGAAAATTTTGTTTTTTTTCCTTTTATTGGCATTATAAATATAATACAAATCATCCAACCGCAATAAAATATTATATTTGCATACGCAATATCTTTATTTAAAAACACAAACAAAATACATGCAGTACAAATGCAAACAAAATTTTTTCTTTTTTTATGCAAACGAAGCAACAACAATGCACATTAAAAACATTTTCAAATCGTTTAGTTTGGCAAACGCTAAAAAAACCACTACCTTAGGAAAATAATCACTAAAAAGACCACTACCTTCGGCAAAAGATAACTAAAATGAGCACTACCTTTGTGAAAAGATCGTTATAATGAGCACTACGTTCGTGAAAAGTACACAATCTCTAAAAATTGTTGAATTGATTCGGACTTTTTTTAATGTACTGTTCGTTTAATGTTTTTTAACAAAGATGACAAACAGTATACTATATTTTGTACTTTAGTGTTTGTTTTCGTTCACTGATATAAATATCATTATTTATATTATTATTTATAATATTGTCGTTTTAATCATTTATTATATAAAACATTATTGCTTAAAATCCTTATTTATTGAAATCTTGAATTCATGTTAAAAATATTAATCTCTATTCACCACTTGCGCACTTTAACCGATAAAAGCTCATCTTTAATTAATTACTTGGCAACTCTTCCTTTTGTCTTTTTTGAAATGCGGTGAACAATGCACTTTTGCTCATTTCTTACCTTCTTCGTTTTTTACTCGTCAGAATAGACAGTTCGGTTCGCTGAAGTGCGCAAGTGGCATATATAACAAGTGAACTTTCTGAATAAAAACTATTGAAATTCTTCAGTAATTATTGCTGTTTTTTCACTATCCTCTTCAGCAACCGGTATATTAAAGTATGCCTTTTTTAAATCTATAGCGCTGATTTTGTATTTTAATCAAAATGAAAATTCATAAACTATATTTAAATTTGAAAAATATTTATTATATTCCGTTAATTTTAGTTCAGACAGAAAGTTGAAACTTATAAGAAGAAAATATTTTTCTGTATAATTTTACAATTTTGATGTTGTCAATATCATTCAAATTGTAACTGAGTTTACTATGATTACATATCAACAACAGCCACAAATCTAATGTTGTAAAAATTCGTTTTCCATTTCGAGAATGCGTGAAATCTTGCATGTGTGGAATGGGATAGCGGTCAGGAACTGTTTGTGCATTTAGTCGAATGTAATTGCCAATTTGACCTTGATAATACACGGCTTGTTTATAATATGATTCAACCATACCTAGTCTGCACTCAAGTTCAGTAGGAGACAAGTTAGTTGACGCATCAATAATGTTCTTAGTTCGTGTGAAGCTCCCCTTCGATGACGCACATTGCTGTCTAAGCTCTTCTAAAAATGGAGCAGGAGTAGAAACATTATTATTCGAAGCATTACCTTGATTATCGGCATTTGATGATAAAGATTTTTTTTTTAAACTTCATTTTATTAAATACAATCTATTCTATTCATGAATAATAAGTACTACTTATGGCAATAACAATATATGATTGGCATGTACGAGACTACCCAGTGGTAATCACCGCCTACCGAAGAATTACAATTTCTAGAATCTACTCGGCAAATCAGAAGTTGCGAAGCGTATTATTCTACGAATGTTAAAAGTATCCCTCGTTAGACCTGCGGCAAGGGGGTTAGGATGAACTACCAGTCGTGAGTGATAGTTGCTGCTTATCTGCTGTATTGACTCGTACACTGTAAAAATGCCAAGATCATGATGTAGGACGTTATTCGGGATAAACCATGGGGCGTCGGCGCAGATACGTAGTATTTTTGATTGAAACCTCTGAATCATATCTAGATTTGACTTCGCTGCTATACCCCAGATGGGTATACCGTACGTCCAGATTGGCTTTAAGACGACCTTGTATAAAAGTATTTTATTTTGTAGCGATCATTTGGATTTGGGATTAAGTAGCCAGTAAAGTGAGCGTAACTTTAGTCCTAACTGCTTCCGTTTTGTAAAGATGTGGTGACGCCAATTTAGACGACGATCAAAATGTACACCTAAATATTTGGCGTTTTCAGCTTGCGGCAATTCATGGCCATTCAGTCTATACGGAAGGGCAGGTACCGTGGCGGAGTGTAAAAGTATTTGAACTGATTTGTTATCGTTAGCTTCAATGTGCCAAATGTCTAGCCATGCGTTGACATCGTTCAGATTACTTTGCAAAAGTTGTGAAGCTACTACAGGATCTGCGCGTTTCGCCATCACTAGAGTATCATCCGCAAATGTTGCAGTGTATGTTTTAGCGCTGAGTGGGAGATCTGCTGTGAACAGAGTATATAGAGTAGGACCCAATACACTTCCTTGGGGAACTCCATCCTCTATTTGAAAAAGTTCAGTGTGACAGCTATTCATTTTAACCATAAAGTGCCGATCTAGTATATATGATTTTAAGACGGAGAAGTAGCTATGCGGGAGTTGTAACTTTAATTTGTCCAGTGTGCCATACTTTATCGAATGCTTGTGTTATATCGATAAAGGCTGCTGTGCAGTATTCTTTATTTTCCAATACAAGTCTTGCAAAGTTGTATACTCTATTTACTTGTTCAATAGTAGAGTGATGTTCGCGAAACCCGAATTGGTGGTTGGGAATCAGATATCTGTTTTCGATAATTGGCTTTAGACGTTTTAGGAATACTTTCTCAAATACTTTTGACAACACAGGAAGTAAGCTGATCGGTCTGTAAGGTGTTTTAAGTTCGACGGGCTTACCGGGCTTTGGAATTAATATAATTTGAGCGACTTTCTATTGAGCTGGGTAGTGTTCACAGGTGCAAATTGCATTGAACAATTGGTTTATGAATTTAAAACCCACATCTGGTAGCTCATGTAGCACCTTTCCGGTTATCAGGTCTTATCCTGGAGCTTTTCTGGTTTTAATTTTGTTTTTTATGACCCAATTGTGAAGTCTTAGTTCTGGAGGTTTTAGGACGATATTCGAATGAATTTCTAACAGAAGAGGAGAGTGGCCAGACGAAAGATCTAACGACGACCGCAAGGTTAGATTATTTATGGGTACGCCCTTACAAATGCAAAAGTCAATGACATGTGGTGTTTTATTTAGATCTGTCGGCCAGTAAGTGGGTTCGCCAGTAGATAGGTGAAATAGGTTGCTTCTTGTATCGTTTTTAATAGCTCGCGTCCTCTGGGTGTTATTAATTTTGAGCCCCAATGAACAAATCCAAAAGTCAATGACATCTGGTGTTTTGTTTAGATCTGTCGGCCAGTAAGTGGGTTCGCCAGTAGATAGGTGAAATAGGTTGCTTTCTTGTATCGTTTTTAATAGCTCGCGTCCTCGGGGTGTTATTAATCTTGAGCCCCAATGAGTATGCTTGGCGTTAAAGTCACCTGCTGCTACGAAATTGGGCCCGAGCGTTTTGAAATAATTTGCGAATTGATGACTTTTAATTGGTTGATTAGGTGGACAGTATATAGAGGCAATAGTTATTTCACCATATATATCTCGTACTGATATGGCTGTTGATTGCAGATAGTCTTCATTGTGATTGGTGAGAAATGAGTGGTCAATATTATTTTTTATGATTATTGCTGCGCCACCACGGGCGTGACCAGAAGGATGGTTTGCGTTGTACATTGTGTAATATGGAAGCCTCAGATAACTTCTTGATGTAAAGTGAGTTTCACTAATAAGCATAACATCAATGTTTTTGTCAAGAAGAAAAGTCTTAATTTCGCAAATGTGTTGAGTCAGCCCGTTAGCGTTCCAAAAAGCTATATTTAGACTACTCATTATTTGGATGTATTAGCGACAAATGCGGTTAGGAGGTTGAGCATAGAGCTCATTTGTTCCATAACCGTTTTGAGCATTGATTTAAGCTCAGGAAAATCGTTTTGCTGAGCTGAGTTTACGTGTTTATATTGTTAGATTTAACAACATTTGCATACGTTTGGCTTGTTACATTCGATTTGGTATTCTGTTGCCTTTCTGTATCAGTTGTTGTTTTTCAACGTAGGGCTGGAAGCGCTTTTTCCTGGAGTTGTTTGTAGACTGTGCACCCTTTATAGTTAGCCGGATGATTACCTTCACAAAGAACACACCATACATCATTACCGGGGGATTTGCGAGGACAATCTGAGGATAAGTGGTTTTCAGGGCATTTAACACAGCGTGGCATACGATTACAAAAATGTTTTGTATGACCATATCGTTGGCACCGAGTGCATTGCGGCAATTCACGCTTCTTTTCAGGCGCTTCGATGGAAATTTTTGTGTGCAGCAAGTCAGTACAGTTGTAAATTGTTTTCACCTTGTCTGAGGGCTTTAGTCCAACGAAAAACAAAGGAAGTGGTTTTTTTGTAACACGATGTCGAATGTTACTGATATTGACTACTTCATGGCCTAAATTAATTAAATCTTGTTTGATTTCATCAGTAGGTATTGATGGATGTAGGCCCCTCAACACTACATTAAAGCTTCTACCTTGCTTTAGTTTGTAAGAGCTTTGGTAACTTTTGAGTAGATATCCGCTGTGTTGGGCTGTATTTTGACTTCATTATTACCTAAAATTTTGAGTACAAACTCATTTGGAGCCACATCATTTAGCAGTGCCCGGAATGGTTGAATTTTACCAACACCCACTACAAATATTGGTGGTGGTTTAGGAATTTTACTTTCTTTAATTAATTCCGCATGTTCTGATGTTTCTTCCTGATTATCAGCGTCAGGGTTGTCTAGAACCTCAAAACGGTTAGATGTTGCAAGCCAGTAGCTGTCAAGCTTTTTTTGTTTATTTTTTCGCTGTGCATTTACAGGACTAGAACGCCCACGTTTACCGTTTTGGGGTGAATGATAAAGATGGTAAAGTTGGTTGACACATTATTACAGCAAGTGAGATTGTTCACGTAAATATGTAACAGTTCTGTGAACACTTTGTACACGTTTAAACGCAAAACACCAAAAAAATTTAATCAGTCTCCTGGCAGGATCGCCAATGTGAAAAAAGATGACATTAGAAAATTCTTATTTATGTATAAATTGGAATATAGCGCGTCGTTTGCACTTATCCGCCTCTTTAATTTTACCCACCGTTCGAATGGGTTTGTTCCACGAAAAATTGTTTTATACAAACAATTTGTAAACTTCTTGAAGAATTTTTGTTACAATTGTTTTATTTTAAATCACAATGTTACAATTATTTTGTTACAATTGTTCTTCTTTCAAAAACATACATTAATTTACAAAAACATTGATTGAACATCGAGCATTGATTCACCAAATATGTTGAATTATCGGGTGTCGATCACCGGCAACACAAGTAATCAATGCATTCTCTGTACCTGCTATCGTCCAAAGTTATTGTCACAAATCATGGGCAATTTACCAAATGAACGTGTCAACATTAACTTACCTATAGATATTACTGGTGTTGGTTTTGCTGGACCTATACCAACATATACGAGAGTGCGTGGAAAATCACCCTATAAAGCATACATCGCAGTCTTTATATATTTCACATCCAAGGCTGTACATTTAGAAGCGGTGTCCGATATGTCCACCAACGCTTTTATAGCTGCGTTAAGCGATTTGTCAGCCGACGTGGGATGCCTACTCGAATAGTTTGCGACTATATCACAAATTTTGTAGGCGCTAACAAAAAATTAAAGGAGTTCAGTAATCATTTTCATCAGCAGTCGAACCGGAAATGCAATATCGTCGTACGGTGTACTACGCAACATTGACTTTTCATTTATTTCGCCTAGCGCTCCATGGCGAAAGCTCATTTGTGTCGCACATTTTCGAATGTTAAACTTACTTTTGAAGAACTCACGACTGCTTTAGTTGAGATAGAGACAGTTATGAACTCCCGCCCGTTAACTTCGCCATCATCAAATCCGAATGATCTGGCATTCATTACTCCTGGTGATATTGTGATTATCAGAGATATCTGTATCTCTGTATATCTGTATATCTGTAGTATTGGCAGAGGCTCACTGCTGTTAAACCCCACTTTTGGCGACGGTAGTCAGGAGAATATCTGGTAGACTTACAAAATCGGTATCTCTGGAAGATACCTAAACGTAATATATAAATTGGTGACATGGTCATGCTACAAGAAGAGAATCTTTCACCAATGAAATGGGTAGTTGGCCGCATTATAACAGTGTTTCCCGGCGCTAATGGGCATGTCCGAGTAGTTAAAACTCCATCCACTATTTTAAAACGAGCAATTTCAAAGATGGCACTACTTCCTGTCAATTAAAACGCAAGGTTTCAATAAGGGTGGCATGTTAAATCCAATTTCTGTTAGTATTCTATGTATAATTATATATTTTTTCAGTAAAGAGTACTAATTTGGTCGATTTCGTGAAAGCATCAATATTGAAGATAAAATAAAGTTGGTTTTTATTATTCATTAACAAGCCATTTCGAAGCAATAGCAAAAAATTGACTGTTCGTCGATTCAACAGATACAATAAATAAATGAATAAGTTTTAAAAAACAAAAATAGTAGGTGTTTTTTTTTAACATATATGCTCTAATAAAACATGTGGTGCTTATAAATTAACATGCAAAGCAAAAACAAAATGTGCTAAACCCACTTTCCTGAACTTCGTACTAAAATGGTACCAAATCTTAAAAATGATCTATTGTGAATGACTTTTGGATGAAAATGGAAAACCTCAGTCAGCTGTTAATTATTTACAGCTCTTGAGAATGTTAATGGTTAAATTTAAATATTTTAAATCAGAAATTTTTTAATAAAATTTGGGAAAAAAACTGTTAAGTTAGTAATTGTGATGAAGCTAATTATTTATTAAGGAATTTTTAATTTCTGTGTTCATTAAAAAAATTCAATATATGAATAAATACAAAACAAAATATAATATAAGCAAAAAGTCATAAGACAATTGCAAGAAAAAAAAAAGACAATGATAAATACTGCTCATTTACCAGTAACTAATGGTGTCAGAAGTTTTAAAATTATATAAACGAATTTATTCACGATATCTTAGTGCCTTCAAGTATATTTATATTAAAAATTTTTTTATAAAATTTAACCGCAAATTTGTTTGAATTTTTTTTTAATTATCATATGTTCAGCAGCCCTGAAAGAACGTAAAAGCGGCATAAGTGTGGTGTAATTGCACTTATTACTTAAGACATAAATGTTATAAAAAATTAATTTCCACTTAGTTAGGATCGAAGTTGACGGAGTTTCCATTCTTTGAAGGGTGATTAGTTTTCGTTTTGTTTAATAATATCTAAAATGAATTTGCATGAATATTTTTTATGGATATGTAATTATAATTAAATAATGTAAGTGACTTCTCAATTTGTAAAGTATATATCAATAGCTAGTCCTAGTCTATAAAATCTATATTTTTTTTTAATTGTTTACATAATTGTTAACATAGATACAAAATGAATCTATTGTTGTCCTTATAAGAAATGTGATTGTTATAGATAAATAAAAACTTTAATTTGTAATAACAAGATCCAGGAGATCGATTATCTAAGTTAAATGCAAATTAAAAATTCCATGGTTAGTATTTGATTATTTTTTTAAAGTTTATAAATAACGTAACGAAGTTATTACAAATGCTTAACATTATATTGCATTACAAATTCAATTTAATTTATGTTAGTAAAAATAAAACCCACCTGCCATCGTATCATGACATGAGTCACTTTATCATCAGCACGAACCGAAAGCACAAAATCACCGGGCTTACTTTGAGATTCACGCACAAGAAAAGAACCATTCTTTCCACGTTCCAATATCAATTTTTCAGCCTCTTTTCCCGAAAGATTCCCATGAAACCATCTAAAAAAAATTTTAATTGTTTTTAAATTTTAGCTTTATAATTTTACATTATAAGAACCACAAATATTGTCATCATATAAATTATTTTGACTTAAATCTGTTGATTTAAACTCATTAAGAATTCATATTTCGTATCCTAATATGAAAAATATCAATCTAACCCAAGAGATTACAATAGACCTTTTCTTTTGTAAGAACAACTGCTTATTTTAAAAATAACATATGAAAACACAACAATGCTAGCTTATTTAGTCCAACCATTTTGAAGTCGCTTAACTAGAAAGGAGCTCAAATTGCATGGTTGCCAATACTAAAAATTCGTCTATTGTGAACGACTTTTGGAAATACCTACGAAGTTTCCAGTTAACTATCAACGAATGATTGCGATAATTATTCGTATTTTGTGTCGTCATTGTTCGTAACAAATACCGTAACTTTTTCTATTTATTATTTTACTGTTAAAAAGCATGAAAATTCATATTTTATTTACAATCTTGTAAAAAACGTTATTCTTACCAATAATTTCAAAGAATTATTATTCATTTTAGAAATATTAACTTTAAATTTTATTACGTGTTTTGCGTATACAGTGACGAACAAAAGCAAATTGAACTTTAGCACTATTTTTATCCTGTTAATGATGCGATTTTTAATCAACAAAAATTTTTTTCAGATAAATTGCTTCATTTGCTTTTAAATTCACTTTATTTCATTTTATTTTCTCTAAAAAAATTGGATGAAATTCTCTACCACTTGTCGAGCAGGTTAATTTTAGCAGATGCAGTCCGCTCCGGTAACGCCTTTGGAAAGCATTATATATAAGTGACCTTTTACAAATTTAACTGCAGCCTCCCAAAGACCGCCAAAATGAGGGCACCTGGGCGGAATAAAGTGAAAATTAATAAATTCAGACGCGCAGTACTGAGTTATAGACAACTGGTTTATTTTATTAAACAAAAATGAATTAAGTTCTGACAATTGATTTGAAGCCCCAACGAAATTGGTTGTGTTATCGCAGAATAAGTCAGTTGGTCAACCTCTCTTTCCAATCATTCTTTTTAATGCTGCAATGAACACGTCTGTTGACAAGCTTGAAACAACTTTGATGTGTACCGCTTTTGTTGCCATACAAATAAAAGAGACGATATAAGTTTTGTATGGAGGCTTCTCTCTTATACGTAAATACGTGTTGAATGGTCCACAAAAATCGATACCACAGCAAGCATATGGCCGTGAAGGCGTGAGACGTTCTACATTTAATTTACTCATCATCTGTTGCAACAACTTTGGCTTTCGCTTATAATTAATGCAGTGAACATTTTGTCTGACAACTCTTCGAGCAACATTTCTGGTGTTCACAATCCAGAACTCTAAACAAATGAGTGCCACTAACGCCTTAGGTCCAGCATGATAATTTTTTCGATGTAGATAATGAACATAAAGCATGTCGAATTCAGATTTGCTAGGCTGCAGGATAGGATGTTTACGTTCCTTTGCAAGATCGACCAATTCTAATCGTCCACCAACTTTAATTAGCTTAAAACCACCGGTATCTTCAATAAATGGATTTAAGTATTTGAATGAACCTTGTGTTAAAGATCCTCTATTTAATAAATAAATATCTTCAGCAAAGTACTGAGCTTGTTTAAATGATGCATCGGAAGGCGTGATCTAATTCTTCATGAGTAAGGACTTCTATATAAACACGGCGGCTGAACTTCTTCTTATAACGCTTATACCAACGAAACAACCAAGCCAGTACCCGAACGGCAGTTGTATGTGAGCTATATTTATCAATATCATCTACAACATAATTGGTTGATACAGTTACCTTAAATGCTGCTCTTCGTTTTTTCTTATTGATTTCTTCAAAGTCCAAGTTGTCGTTCTTGTTTGCAAGGTCTTGTAAACCAAATACAATTATCGAGATCGTTAACAGTACTGCCTCTTGACACAATGTCAGTTGGATTACAATTTGTGTGGATATATCTCCAATGTGAACCTACAGTGAGTTCTTGAGTTTCAAAAATCATATTGCCTACGAAGGCAGACAGTGTGGCCGAATGTATTTTGAGCCAATGTAGTACGTTTTGGGAATCAGACCATACATACACGTCAGTATCGAACTTTTCGAAGAGTGATTTAATTTTGTTGTAAAGTCTTGCAAGTAACAGTGCTCCATAAAGTTCTAATTTTGGAAGCGAGTGTTTTTTTAACGGAGCTACTCTAGATTTGGCTACGAATAGTTAAACACCTATGAGGTTCGAATCATCTGTGACGCTAATGTAGATGCTGCAACCATATGCGCGAATCGACGCATCGCAAAAACCATGGAGCTGAATTGTCGTTACTTTTGTTTTTGATGTTTAATGATGACAAATCGTGAAAAAGCCTTTCCCATACTGAATGTAAATTTTAAGGACTGGATACGTCCCAATCCAATTTAAGCAGCCATAACTCTTGCAATAATATTTTAGTTGATATAATTATTGGAGCTAATAGTCCTAATGGGCCGAATGGTGACGACGCGATTGACAAAATATTTCTTTTTGTGATGCGGTTTACATCGCATCGTATTTGGTGTAACTCAGAAAGATAATTTGCACCATGTAATAAGTCATCAACATAAAACGAAGATTTGAAGACCTCAGTTGCAATCTTGAATCTATCCTTAAATTGATGCGCTATTTGCAATAGGCATTGAGTGGCAAGGTACGGTGCAGCAGCTGTTCCGTATGTAACTGTGTTAAGCTGGAAAGTACGAATATTTGTAAATGGTGAGCTTCTGTAAAGAATGTACTGAAATTTTCTATCTTCAGGATCAATCAAAATTTACCTATACATCTTCACTATGTCAGCAGTTAAAGCGAATGGAAATAAGCGAAAACGTAACAAAAGGATGAACAATTCATCAAAATATCGTTGAGAGATTTTTGAGAAGAATTTCGACATGATGCGTCGAAAGCGACTCTTAATTTCGTTGAGGTGCTGGCTAGTTTCAATACGCAGTGATGCGGAATGTAATAATGAGATTCATCAATATTTGGATCTTTTACGTAAGTCATGTGACCAAGTTTTTGATGTTCTTCCATAAAGGCAACATACATATTTCGTTTTGAGCTCAGGCGACCGTGACAATCGAATTTCTTGTGCAATAAATCTGCGCAACGCTATACCGTATGAACTGCCTAAACACTGAGGGTTATCCTTAAATGGCAACTTTACTATAATTCTACCTGCATCCGTTATGTATACTGTTTCTAAAAGTAAACGATCACAAATTTGTTGTTCACTAGTCGAAGCATCTGAAGTGATCGAGACTTCTTCTAGCTTCCATAGACGTTCTAATTTTTCCTCTACAAAGTTAATTGATAAAAGAAGAGAAGTCGAATTACTAACGAATTGTGAAACATGATATCGACCCGAAACAATTCAGCCCAAAATAGTTTTCTGTGACGTTGGTAATCCTAATCCAAGTTTGATCTGCCCCACTGACGGAACACTAAAAAAGCTTTCGGTACCAAGCAGTAAATCAATACGGGTTGATGTATGAAATTGTTTGTCAGCAAGATTAATATTTGATGATACGTTCCAAGTTGAGATGCTTATTTTAGAATCTGGTTTATAAGCAATATATAATGTTATACAGAATGTAAATGGAAGTTGAAAAGCCGTGAACCGAGATTTGATAGTAGTCGATACCTTTGATTTTATCCTTGTAGATGAATTTCCGATGCTGTTAATTTCAATATTATGCTTGGTCAAGGGTATGCGAAGTCTCTGAGCGAAATCATTAGTGATGAAATTCACCTGTGAACACGAATCTAGTAGAGCCCTACACAATTGATAGCATCCAGACGCGTCCTGTATTAGAACTAGCGCTGTAGCTAAGATGACATTACTTGTAGATGAATTATCTAAATGTGTATGCATCGCAGCGTCTCTAGAAATAGTAGAAATAGTTCGTACCATTGATGACTGAGGAGTAGGATGAACTGAGTGTGAGTTGAAAGGTAGTGTAGCATTGATGGTGGTCTGAAAAAATCTTACATCTATTAGTTGATGGACAGTTAGAAAGTTGATGTTTCTTCGACAAACAATTCATGCAAAGTGTGAATTGCTTTACAGTGTCAAAACGTTGTGCAGTTGATAAACTTCTAAACCACAACATCAAGCTAAACCATTGAGCTTGTTGTTGGCACTTGAACAAAATATACAAGAAGATTTAGTGCCAGAAAAAGCATAATCTTTATGAAATTTTTTTTTTTTGAGAATTTATTATTGGAATTTATCATCTGATACACAAGGAGACTTTTTATCTAGATATTGAAGATATTGACAATGTCTCTCTAAAACGGCAACCGTTTCAACTTGGCAACTTTTTGATATCTAACGATTCTTTCTACTTTCTTCTCGTCCCTTCATCACACTTTTGCTTCACAATATCAATCAACATAGCTTGTGAAATTTCACGTTCAGAACCCAATGATAAAAATGAACTAGAAATCGCTGACGCAGTATCGATTAGACTTCGCAGCTTATTACCTTCCGGTTTGGAAGTGCCAGGAAGATAAAAAAAAACTGATTTGTTTTCCATGAAAATGAGATTTGGTTTATCGTACCTTTCCTTCAATCTATTTAATGTATTAGAGTAATTTTCATTTGTGACTTCAAACGCTTTAACAGTTTCTAATGCTGGGTCATGCAGACAAGTCAGCTAATAATTAAATTTTTCCGGATTAGATACGGTTAATTCTCGATCAATAATTTGCGATAACGACGTTATAAAATTTTTGAATTCAGAATATTTTCCATTAAATAAAGGTTGTTGTAGCGATGGTAATTTCATTGTTGATTGGTGAATAATGATGTTACCATCAGATATTGGCGTGTTGTGGAAATCGTCTCCCAACTGCGACTGAATGGTCACCTTTGCATTAATGTAAAGCTCCTCCAAATCTAATTGACAATTGTTCTCTGGATCTAAAGCCTCTATATTC